CGTATGCAAAAATTAATCTGAGATGAATCATAGTCCTAAGTGCAAAAGCAAATATCACAGCTTCTAAAAGAAACCATAGAAGAAAATCTTTATGACCTTGAGGTAGGTAAAGATTTCTTAAATGTGATATAAAATGCACTCTACATAAAAGAAAATATTGTTAACTTAGGCTTCATCAGAATTAATATATTCTACTCATTAAAAATTAAAGGCAAAAGGCAAGCCACCAACTTGGAGAAAATAGTCACAGTGTATGTAACAGAGGACTAATATCCAGAATATGTAAAGAACTCCCTTAAATCAATAATAAAAAATTGGGGGCACCTGGGTGGCTCAGTGGGTTAAGCGTGCAACTCTTGATTTCGGCCCAGGTCATGATCTGAGGGTTGTGAGATTGAGCCCTGTGTTGGGCTCTGTGCTGAGCATGGAGCCTGCTTGGGATTCTCTCTCTCTCTCTCTCTCCCTCTGCCCCTCCTCCTGCTTGCACGAGCATGCACGCACCCTCTCTACCTCTCTCTCTAAAATCAATAAATTTTAAAAAATAATAAGAAGTCAATCTATTTGGTTTGAAACTAGAAGATTTGAACAGTCACTTCAGAGAGGTTGATATCTAAGTCAAGAAGGGGCATATGAAAATGTATTCAACATCATTAGTTACGAGGAAATAAAAATTAGAAGCATAATGAGATACCAATACATATTCAAGAGAAGAGGTCAAATTTAGAAAGTGACAATACTAAGTCTTAGGAGGGGTGTTCAGCAATGAGAATTCTCATATATTGCTGGTGGGAGTGTAAAACGCTGCAAATGCTTTGTCAAAGTTTTTGGCAATTCCTCATAAAAATAAATATACACCTACCCATGGCAGTTCCTTGTCCAGGTACTTATAAAACAGAAAGGAATCCAGAGATTCACAAAAAAGACTTGAACCAAAATGTTCCTAGGTATCAAACAGAAAGTAACCCAATGTCCACCAGCAGGAGAACGAATAAACAAATTAGGGAATATTTATCCAGTGGGATACTATTTGTCAGTAAAGCCAAGCTACTGATACGTGCTCACATGGATCAAAGTACAGACATGGTGAGTGAAAGAAGCCGCACAATTCCATTTATGTGAGGTCTGAGAAGACAACCTGAAGCTGCCATGATACCAATCAGAGTAGTGCTTGAGGCTGGGGATGGGGTGTCTAGATAAGTGTTCACTGGAAAGAGGCATGAAGGAATTTTCTGGGGTGATGGAAAATGTTCTTGATCTCCATCTGGGTGACTTGGAACTATGTCAATGATGTCCGTGAAGTGCTCTCAGGACAAAGAAATCACAAGTAAGCCACCACTTAGAAGGGCAAGCTTCACTTTGAGAACAGATTGGTTTCTGTTACAAGAGATATCGTTGTGAATTTCTTCATTAGCACTTGTTCAAGGCTGATCCCATTGTTTTATTTGCAAGTTATAGAGTTGCCAACAGACCAGGAAAGCCCCGGCACTCAAGATGACTTTCATATTTACTTTGGATTCAGAACAGCATGTCCCCTTTGTTCGATTTCACTTTTGCTTTCAGTTCTAGAGTCCTGGGCAGAATCTATCTCTAAAAATGTAAGAACTTACAGTGAAATAGCTTTAGGCTGGGACTGAAGTTGTTACAGACTTTCCACCCTGTGAAACTCATGACTACTCTCAAGGGAAAAAAAAATTTTTAAATTGACTATTTAATAATAGAATATTGAGAACACACCAGAGGTGAGAGTTACCCCACCCCTTGCTTACACACGAACAGTGGAGGAAAGATCGTAAACTGGATAGAAATGGCCCCATGTGTCTATCTTGTCACTGTCCTCAAGAATTTCTTTGCTTCTGTGTCTAAAAGAGTATTGGAGAATAGGCCATATGTGGGTGCTGGTAGGAAAAATGGAGTTTTTATATAAAATATTTGGGATATTCAGGGTTAGAGGGAAAATATAAAGTAAGTTACAATATTAACAAATTGGGTGCAGGTTTAGAATGCAGAAGGCCCAGGAGGATAGACTGACTCTGTTTTTGTCAGTCAACAGAGATTTATTGAACACCCAGGATTTACAGGTACCCTGCTGGTGCTAGAATAATGTGAACAACATACATGCAGTCCTTCTCATATGCAACTTAGAACTGTTACAGGAAAAACAATTCTTGTAAATAATTGACAATTCGGGCGCCGGGGTGACTCAGTCGGTTGGGCCAGCAGCTCTTGGTTTCAGCTCAGGTCGTGACCTCGGGGTCCTGAGATCAAGCCCCGCATCAGGCTTTGCACTCAGCGCGGCATCTTTTTGGGATTCTCTCCCTCCCTCTCACTCTGCCTCTCCCCCTGTTCACACACTCTAAAGTAAATAAATCTTAAAAAAAAAATCAACTGTTACAGTTGTGTGAACTGTTGTGGAGGACACATAGTGATCTACTCCAGGCCCTGGCAGGTCTGGTCTCAACTCACTGAGTTTGAGGCACATGGGAACCCTAGTCCCCTCAGGATGTCTCAGGCCCCAGTGTTTTTGTTTTTGTTTGGAGTAGGCTCCACACCCAGTGCAGAGCCCAGTGCAGGACTTGAATTCACGACCCTGAGATGAAGACCTGAGCTGAGATCAAGAGTTGGACACTTACCTCACCAAGCCACCCAGCTGCCCCAGGCCCTGGTATTTAAATTGGGATACATGCTCCCTTGGGCGGGCTCACCAGGTCCTCACAAAGATTCAGCCATGGGCAAATGGGAGCTCAAATGGTTCTAAGGGAACTGACAGCGTGACCCTTACTTTCCACATGTAGTTCTTCCTAAAACTGATCAGCCTGAAAACAAGAGCTGCTCAGGGGGCCAGGCCTGTCCTGTCTTCACACCAACCTTTTCACAAAGGTGCTCTCTTCTTAAAAGGACAGGCTCACCTCTCACGCATCTTGGGTTTTAAAATAGTGTATTGCCCCTCGGTGTAAAATCTTCCTGGACAATTAGAAATAATTGGTGTTAGTGCTGAGAAAATCAATTACTCTAAAATCTGTGCATAGAGCCGCCAGGTAGAATGTAAGACATCCAGTTAAATTTGAATGTAAGATAATCAATGAATAATGTATTGCATGGGACAAACTTATACCAAAAAAATTATCTCAAATTTAAATTTAAACAGGTGTCCTGTATTTTATTTATTTTAAAAATATTTTATTCATTTATTTGAGAGAGAGACAGCACAAGTGAGCAGGGTGAAGGGCAGAGGGAGAAGCAGGCTCCCCACTGAGCAGGGAGCCCAACATGGGGCTAGGGGCTCGATCCCGGGACTCCGGGATCACGACCTGAGCCGAAGGCAGATGCATAACCAACTGAGCCACCCGGGTGCCCCATGTCCTGTATTTTAACTTGCTAACTCTGGCAACTCTATCTGGGAAAAAAAGGCCTGTGGTTTCAAAGTCACTGATTTCAACAAAATTGAGTTGTCTACTGATAACTAATTAAATTTTGATTAAAGATCATCAAATGATTTTGGGGGTATAAAACAAGTTCAAAAAGTTGTGAAAAATTGACATAATAACATTTTTCTGGTCTAATCTACACTTATTTATGTAGAGAAGGTTTTCAACACTTATCTTTAGAGATGAAAAAAACGAACAGTACCCATGCTGAGCCGATCATATTCTAGTAATAGGTAATACCGACAAACACACATTTGAACAGGTTGTTCAAATATAAGCTGAAGCCATCAAGATTGCATTTGTAGAATTTTACTTTTTATCTTTAGTAATTATCAACATTTATGATCTGTATTGTTTTGATCAACTGTATAACAAGTACTGAAACTAGTATCAATAATGCAATCAAGGAGACATTTTTAACACTTAGAGCTTTATGATCACAGGAAAAAAATAAATTCAGCTTATGCATGTATTTGTTTCAGAAATATGAGTGATTATAAAGATGTCTCTAGTAAACGTACCTTACAATTCTGTGGGGGCACCTGAAACTAATATAATGCTGTTAACTATACTGGGATTAAAATTAAAATTAAATTCTGTGGGGGAAGTAGATTGTTCAAGGACAAAAGGCAATGATATAATATTTGCAATTATTAAAGATGAGCTGATGTGTTAATTGTGGTGATGGTGGGCATCAAATGGCTATATTTGTATTCCACTGAATTCGTTGAAAAGAGTGGTGGATCAGTTTTATTCTAAAATACCTAGTCTGCACTTTGCAGTTGCTTTGCAACCGGGACAGCTTTTATGTTTTAATGCGAAGTTAAAAATGTGCAGAGGAATATAGTTTTTCAAAATTCTTTTGATGGGTACAAGATCAAAAGTCTGTAAGGACCACAAAAAGGTTTTCAGAAGACATCTAATAAAGTTTTGAACTCAGCAGGCTCAGGAGTGGATTGACATTTCCACATGACAGATAAACTTAATCATTTTGGCACAGCTCCAGCTGGAGCCCTAAGTGCTCTGGGCAGCCAAATCCACGTAACCCTGAAGGTATCCCGCTGCTGCTGACTGTGAGGAATGGAACGGGCGTCCGCTTTGTTTGCACAGGATGAGAAATTCCTGACGCGTAACACGGGTTTTATCTTCGATTTACTGGAAGACAGGACAAACAGGTGAGCTGGCCCAATTCCTGCGCTCCCCTGGCCGGTGGTCCTGAGAGCAAGGGGCTTCCAGGGGCCTCTTGGACAGGGAATGTTGAGGGCCAGGTGGCAGGTGCGGAGACCCCAGCTTTCCACGAGAGGACCACCGTCACTTAGAGATCTCCGATGCGGGCCAAAAGGCGGAACTTACTTTTAGAGCCGAGTCCCCCCTAGTTATAAAACAACGAAGCAAAAAAAAAAAGTTTCAATACAGGAAACTCATCGGGTCAGGTCGGCGTTTCGCACAGTAAAAATAACCGAGGAGGAGAGCCCTGCGCTTCCACCCGTGCCTTCCCTGGGCTGCCCGCGCGCACGTCAGCGCTGTCGGGAAGCCGGGCGGGGTTTCGGCTCCTCCGAACCCGGGCGCGGTGACCCGTGGCCGCAGCACCGCCGTCGGAAAGGCCGCGGCCGGCACAGTGGCGCCCCCGGGGTCGCGGAAATCCCCCGGGGAGCTTGCCAGGCCGCGGGTTAGGGGAAGTGCGTGCGGTTACCGCCGCGGAGTTCCCCCACGTCCTGCGAGGAAAGCACCGGCCGCGGCGGGCCGCACAGATGGGGGCGGGCCGGCCTCCGAGACGCTAAAAGCCCCGCCGGCCTCCCGCCCGCACCGCAGAGCCCGGCGACCGGGGCCACCCGAGGACACGGCCGGCTTCAGCCGCGGGCGCGCTGGGCCTGGGGGCTGCAGGTGCGTGACGGCCCGCCCGCGTGCGCGTGCGCGGACCTCCCCTCGCGTGGGCGCGGGGCCTCGGGGCGGCAGGTGGGTAACGGGCCGCCGCGGTGCGCGTGCGCGGACCTCCCCTCGCGTGGGTGGGGCGCACTAGGGCGCACGGTGGAGGGCGAGGGTCGGCAGAGAGGCCCACGGGCCGGACAGCGCTGCAGGGACCTCCCCCCCAGCCTGTGTGCACCCCCGTGTCAGTCAGCGGTGAGCCCAGGGGGCGGGAGGCCCTCGTGGCCGGGGTGACCCCAGGGCCCGGAGCTGTTCCCGCGCCGTGGAGGGTGCCCGGTGAGCTTGGGGACAGTCTGCCCCAGAACTTCATAGAAACAACCCAATCACATCGTTCGCGACCCCGTGGAGGAGCGAATGTTGGCGTGTGTTGGCACGGAGAGTAGATTTCTGGTCGCTGTGTCCTGGTGGGCTGCATGGGAAGCCCGCATTGCGGCTCATCTAGTTAGCCAGGTGTTGGGGGGCACTGGTCCGATGCTAAACTAACAATGGTACTAACTTGGTTTGCTAGCCGTCATTACTAGCACCAGCTGTTGCTAACACCTGCTGTGTGCGGGACCCTCTCCAAACACGTTTCAGGTGTGTTTCAGGTAGTTGCCATGATCATCTCCGTGGATAATGAGCTTGCTCGGGCTCAGGGAGGTTTTCTTGCCCAAGGTCCCGCCCTCTGGTAGGGGACCTGAATGGTATCCAAAAATCCAAGAGGTGTGACTTCAAACCCTGATATTAAACCATCGGGGAGCAGACTTTGTAGTCATTAACGTAAAACTGATGTTCTTAATACCATGCAGATGAGGCTGTTGTGGTCACGGGGTGCTTGGTCAAGTCTGCTGACCTTGCCTTGTGCAGCAAGTGTCTCCATTTTGTGCAGAGCCAGGTGGATGTTGGTAGTGGGAGGGCTGGTCCAGAGCTGACAGCTGGTTCTGCTCTGAAGGAGCTCAGCGTCTGGGGGAGGCAGGAAGGAAAGGCACACTCAGCCTCCAGCACCAGAGCTTGGGTCTGCCAGGTGCCCAAGAGGGTGGAGACACCCACCAGTCCTGGGATCAAGCAGATTGCCCACCAGAGCTGTTAAGAGAAGAGGCTGAGACCTTGAGCCATTCCTAGAGGGAACCGCTAGAAAGGAGACAGGAATCCCAGAGTGGTATCGAGAAGTCAAGGAAGGAGAACATTTCTTTTCTAAGATTTTAGTTATTTGTGAGACAGCGAGCGAGCTGGGGGTGGGGGGTGGGGCAGAGGTAGAAGCAGGCTCCTGGCTGAGCAGGGAGCCCGATGCAGGACTCGATCCTGGGACCCTGAGACCATGACCTGAGCTGAAGGCAGACGCTTAACCATCTGAGCCCTCCAGGCGCCCCTGGGGTAGGACGTTTCTAAGAGGAAGTGGGCCCCAGCGTCAGATGTAAACATTTCCGTAGGTTTTGGGAAAGAAGGCTTTGGTGTTATTAACGTTGACAGTTTTAAGCGATGTTGGCCAAATGCAGTTGCGAGCAGGAGGCCTTAACTGAGACGCTGTTGCATTCACTGGGCTGTGAAGAGAAAGTGAAATACAGCACAGCCGACCTCGAGCAGCAGGGTTTGAACCGCCCGGCGCCCACTTACGCGCATATGGTTTCGATAAGTATGGTACAGTGTTGTGAATGCATTTTCCTTTGATTTTCTTAACGTTTTCTTTTGCTGACTTTATTGTAAAAATACAGTACGTAATGCATATAATATCCAAAATACGCATTTCACCGACTGTTACCAGTAAGGCTTTTGGTCAACTGCAATTTATTATGAACTTTTTGGGAGTCAACAGTTATAGTCAGATTTTCAACAGTGTGGGGAGAGGGCGTGGGCGCCCCTGACCCCTGCATTGTTTAGGAGTCAACTGTAGTTGCTAGAATGGAAAGTGGGGTTGAAAGAGGATTTTTGTTGCTGTTCTCATGCCGAAGCCGAGACAGACTTAAGCACGCCTGTTACCTTGAAGGAAGAATCCGGAGGGAGGAGGAGGAGGAAGGGAGAGGCTAGGGCTGGGGGCAGGATTTCTGAGGCAGCAGGTGGGTTTTAAGGGAGAAGCATGGATTTGGGGGTGTGAAAGGGTTACTGTTCAGTGAGGTCTCTTAGGGACACCAGGCAAGGCAGTCTTCCAAAGGGGATTGGGGGGAGCTTTGGGGAGCATTCTGAAGGCTTCAGGGTTGCAGAGGGCAGTGGGCTAGGGAGCTGCCTTGGGCCGTGGACGGCTGGGCAGGTGGCCAGAGCCTGAGCTTGTGGTGGCCCCAGCCCGTGAGGTCTCGGGTGTCCCCCAGAGCATTTGGAGGTCTATGTGTGGAAGTGGGTAAGAGAGTTTGAATCAATGCGGGAGGGGCATCGTGGCATATTTTCATTCTTTTATCATAAACTGTTGCCTACATTTCCACAGGCCTCTGTAGCGTAAGGCCTGGGTTTATGGTCTCAAATGTAGAGAGGCCAGGCAGGTGGCATAAATGAACAGAACTGGGGTCTCTCTTTTAAACAAAAACATACTTTAGATACATATTTTAATGTGTAGGAATAGTCCCCTTTTCCATAAAGAAATATGGTGCCTTCATTTTTTCCTAGACTGTCTTTCTTTGTCCACCTTGCATTTTTGTCACTTTCGACAGACACAGGTATCAGAACAATTTCACTTTCTTCATGACTGTCCCGTCAGAGGAACCCTAGTGCCCATTCAGTGACAGATGACGAGGGACAGTCTCAGTACCAGAGTCACGCGCCCGCTCACAGCTCACTGTCGCCGTGCGCAAACTGCCCTGTTGCCCGTTGGGTTTTTCCAAAGGAGCTTGGGATCTAGGATGTCATGGGAAATCTCTTACTTTTAAAAAATGTTGGTAATTAATCAAAACATTAAAGGAAAAACCAAACTGTGATCCGAGAACAGACGTACTTGGAAAACGGGAGAGTGGAGCAGGACATGCAGGTTGATCAGCAGCCCTGGGTCGGTGCCAGCGTCCCGGCCTCTCCGACTGTGCTGTGTTCTGCACGGCTCTGGGAGGGGTTGGGAAGTCCAGCGCTGTGTGGGCGGGAATTCTGTTGTTTCTGTAACTCTTCTCTGTGTATAAATTAATTTCAAAATAGAAAGAGAAATAAGTCAAGCACGGAGGTCCAAGTCGGTGTGAGACAGACCTCCTCGTGCCCCTGCGGGCACCGGTTTGAGCCTGTGGGTCCCCCCAGGATTTCTTGGCCACTGCCATGTGTCATGCAGGACCTCGTGTGCACGGTATAGTCCTGAACCACTGGTGCTCTGTGCTGGAGGAAAGGTTTGAAAAGAGAGCATTGTGGTACAGCTATGAATTGCCTGACTTTTAAAACTGTCTTTCTGTTTTTTTTTAAACAGGTTTTACAAAAGAGGCAAACTATTCGACTTCTAGATTTTTTCCAGTTTTTTCTATAAATCAGAACATCTCAAAATGGAGGCCTAAAACCCTTAAAAGGGACTTAGTCTAATCTCCGGGAGGTAGTTTTGTGCATGAATAAACAAATTCAATAGTGAACTGGAGTTTTGGTATCCAAAGAATGTTAATTTAAAAAACCTAGATCATATGACTGAATCTAGTCATATGAGTTGTAACTATGAAGTGATAATAATCTTGATTTGAATCTGACTTGTGACATAAAGGAGAAGTGAGTCTCGCTGGAACATACTGTTGAGCCACGGGCTGCAGTGCAGGATAGAAAAAAGGAACTCGTGTTTGGTAAAGATCTACAGATGAGTTGCAGTTAGCTAGAACAAAGAGTAAATTAGAGAAATATGCAGGAGAGACTTCTGACGGGTGGGAGTCAAGAACTCCAACGTCAAGAACAAGACCTCCCAATACAACACACGGTGAGAGGGCATGACACGTGAGCGGGGTCGACTGGTGAAGAAATTACCTGACCAGGTACATGACCGTCGATATGTTAGAAGTCCACAGTTTGGTTTGTTCAAATGCGCTCTTGTCTGTGAGAAGGATAGCAATGGGAATGACAGCTGGGTGGTGACATGTTGGGAAATGAACAGACTTAGCAGAGAAGAGGTACACAGAGACAGGGATTGGCACCAGGAAGGTTTTTATAACAACGTGTAATGTTTTTGTCCAATGAAAAGCAAACCAAAGTGAGGCACAGTAACTTAGCTTTGAGGGAAATCATCACCGGTATGGAGATGCATTTCTCATGCCATCTGGACGTAAAGCATTACAGTCTGCGTGGAAGCCCCAGCATGAGTGCGCCAGGGGCCAGACCGCTGCTAGAAAACCCATACAGCTTGTTTGCTGGTCCTTGCTAATATTCTGGATGCAGACCCTATTTACTGGTAGCTAGTCACAACTGAGACATCCCAAATTTTACGAAGGTCTTTGCTTGTCAAAAGGAGTAGACTGTGACAAAGTAAATTTATTATTTTTTGTTATAAATTCTGGTTGAAGGTATGCTTTCTGTAAAATTAGTTCTGACCAAAGCCAAATCTGTATGATTTGATTATCCAGCTTAGCCTACAAATTCAGTGCTCTGACTTTTGATTCTTTTAAAAAATAAATCCATTATCAGAATAGAAGACCTGGTATTGTCTCTCAGCAGCCTGAAGCTGAGCCCAAAAAGACCAACTAAGTGAATACATTCATCTTGATAATTTATTTGAAATAAAATGTTTAATTTGCTAAGTTCTAGTGGAATCACTATGACTCAGCAACCAAGCTCCTGATTATGGGAAGTAATTATTATTTAATAAATTTTGAAATAGGCCTTAAGATGCATCAACCAATTCCCTTCCTATTTCATCTCTTCATTTATAGGAAAATTCTAGATTGTTTTGTTTTCCCTATTAAAATTATTATAGGAAGAAAAATTACTTAATTTGTGCAAGATTTGGGATGTGCTATATTTCACTGCATCTCAGAAGTCATTGATTGTAAGACACACCATCACTTTAAATACTTTTGGGAAATACAGATGCTGCTAATTAAAATATGATGTTATTAGTTGTAAGATACCTCTCAACAGATACTTGAAAGATGCCTCTTAAAATCAGTAAAATAGGGTTGTGCGTTCTTTTGAGGTAGGTCTTATGCTTTTTCTTTTTTTCTGGCTACCAAATCTCATAATTAAAAAAAGGCAAAACAAACCTAGTTTGAGTTTAGTTTCTGTAGAGCACTTACTGAGCATAGCTTTCCCCATGCAAACAAGCTAGTTGCATAAGTCCCACGTTTCATCTGCAGGCTGGCTGAATGCCGCAGCACTGTGCCTGGGAGGGACCAGACGTGGAGTGGCCTCCGGTGACCCAAAGTGCTCTACGCTTTCACGGAGGGTTTTGATTTTCTTCATGAGGTGCTGTGTATCACCATGTTTACACTGTGTGTATAAAGATCATGCAAAGGTGTGGGTGTACGTAATTGTCCCTTAAAATGTGTCCGTGTAGAACGCAGACTCTCAGCCAACACCCTAAATGTGCAGAGGAAGAGAATGACGAGAGACGTCCCGGTGTGGATGCTCCACCGAGGATTAAAACTAACCCAAATCAAGAGCCGTGCACAAAACTACCTCCCCTGAGAAAGGCTAGTCCCTTTTCTTCCCCGTCCACTTCACTATGAACATTGTACAGAATAGCCTGTTCTTGTCCAATTTGCTGAAAAGCACCCCCGTGCTTGAGCTGAAATACGACTTTTCATGTGAACTCTATAGAATGTCTACATACTCAAGGTTCCCCGCCGGCGTCCCCGTCTCAGAGAGGAGTCTGGCCCGGGCGGGGTTTTACTACACTGGTGTGAACGACAAGGTCAAGTGCTTCTGCTGTGGCCTGATGCTGGACAACTGGAAGCCTGGAGACAAGCCTACTGAAAAGCACAAACAGCTCTACCCCAGCTGCACCTTTATTCAGAATCTAAATTCAGCCCGCATCTCGGGAGCCAGCTCTCCACCTCCTCCTCCTTGTTCAGTAACAAATTCCACACATCCGCTGCCTCCCAGTTTGGAAAACACTGGCTATTTCAGTGGGTCTTATTCCAGCTTCCCCTTGAATCCCGTGAACTTCAGACCAGATCCGGAGTTTGCTCCCTGGAGGCCCAGCCCCTACGACGGTGCAGTGAAGACGGCGGAAGCCCGCTTACTCACCTTCCAGACGTGGCCCTTGAGCTCTCCGCGGGCGCCGGACCTGGCCAGGGCTGGCTTCTACTACGTAGGGCCCGGAGACAAGGTAGCCTGCTTCACCTGCGGCGGGACGCTGAGCAACTGGGAACCAAACGACAGCGCTCTGTCAGAGCACCTGAGACACTTCCCCGACTGCCCGTTTGTGGAGAGGCAGCTCCAGGGCGCGCTGAGGTCCCCCGTGTCCAACGCGCGCATGCAGAGCCGCGCGGCCCGCCTGAGCACCTTCTGCAGCTGGCCCCGCCACGTGCCTGTGCGGCCCCCGCAGCTCGCCACGGCGGGCTTCTATTACACGGGTAAGAAACCCCGTCTGGTCATCAGAGGGCCCGGCCGCGTGCTTTACCGCACACGCTCGGAACGGGCACGTTCTATGAATTCAGACGTTCTGGTCCAAAATTAATTTTAGGTCACAGCGATGACGTCAAATGCTTTTGCTGCGACGGCGGGCTGCGGTGTTGGGAATCTGGCGACGACCCGTGGGTGGAGCACGCCAAGTGGTTTCCGAGGTAATTGCAGGGAAGCTCTCTTCGCAAATGCGTGTGGTTGTTATGAGATGGGTTATATGTGTTTCCGTCAGAATCAGCGCTCGCTTTACTCTTTGTTTCAAAAACGCACTTGTGAGTAAGTTTAGGACGGATTACTTAGAAAAATAAACGATTTTGGTGGAAGATAGAGGCTCAGGGTTTTTTGTGTGTGTAACGAAGAATATATATATATATTTTTAAAGATTTATTTGAGAGAGCGAGAAAGAGAGAGAGGGAGCACATGAGAGGGGTTAGGGTTAGAGGGAGAAGCAGGCTCCTCGCGGAGCAGGGAGCCCGATGCGGGACTCGATCCAGGGACGCCAGGATCATGACCAGAGCCGAAGGCAGTCGCTTACCAACTGAGCCACCCAGGCGCCCCATATATCTGTTTTAAAGTAATATATGTTCATTATAAAATCCAAACCACACATTGTAGAAAAGTACAGAGAAAAAAATGTAAGTGTCCAGAAATCTCACTATCTAAAGAAGACTAGATGAATGGATAAAGAAGATGTGGTTCATATATGCAATGGAATATTACTCAGCCATAAAAAAATGAAATCTTGCCATTTGCATTGACATGGATGGAACTAGAGGGTATTATGCTGAGCGAAATAAATCAATCAGAGAAAGACCGTTATTGTATGATCTCACTCATGTGGAATTTAAGAAACAAAACAGAGGAGCATGGGGAAGGGAGGGAAAAATAATAAAACAAGACAAAATCAGAGAGGGAGACAAACCATAAGAGACTCTTAATCACAGGAAACAAAGAGGGCTGCTGGGGGGGAGGTGGGGGGATGGGGTCACTGGGGGATGGGCATTGAGGGCACATGATGTGATGAGAACTGGGTGTGATATAAGACTGATGAAGCACTGACCTCTACCTCTGAAACCAATAATACATGATATGTTAATTGAATTTAAATTGTTAAAACATGAAGTTATTTTAACATTTGAAAAAAAAATAGAGGACCTGTTAACATTTTAGTGAATATCCCTGCAGACATCTTTTCATGTATATGTACATATACAAATAAATGTATATAATGTCACATGAATTAGATATATATACTGTTTTGAAACTTTTTTTTCAGTCAATCTTATGTCTTAAATGTGTTTCCATTCTTTCAACATTTAATTTAATTGATTATTGCTAGGCACTGTTCCAGTGGTTAAAATCCTCAGTTGAACAAAACCAAGATCCTTGGTCTCATACATTAATTTAATAGCGTGAGAGGCAGATAATTAATAAAAACCTAATAAATGAATTGTGTAGCATGTTGGAAGATAGTAGGTGTTATGGATAGAATGAAAAAACAGAGCCGAGTAAGAAGAATCAGAGGCAAGTCGCAATATTAAATAGGGTGGTTAGGGTAAATAGAGACCCACCTCCTCTGTTTTCATCACTACAGAACATTTCATTGTCAATCCTTACAGTTTAATTATTCCGTGCTTATTTACATCTACTTTTTTAATTGAAATCAAGTGGCTTATGATGAAAAACTTTTAGTGTTTTTAATGTTGCTTACTAAGCTCAGTATCCTGACTTATTTTCCTTGTATAAGTTTTTAGTATAACACTCTATTTATAGCACCTTTACACGCCCCAAATATTTTAGATTTCAAAAGTTACAAAGATTGTGAAGAATACCTTACCCAGATGTTTTTTGAACAGTGCTGCTAGCCTTCCACGGTGGTAATTTTGTGAATATATAAAAATAAGGGTGAGTTTGCTTTGTTTGTGTGAGGGGTTCATTTTGTGCTTGAGTTAGACCATGATGTGTGTTATCTAGGAATTGCCAAACCTGGGAGGATCTGACTTAATTAGAAAATGTGTTCACCTTCCTCATTATTTCTCTTGTCCCTCTTTGTATATTGTGAACTTTTAAACCTACAAACCTTATGTGTGAGCAGTCATTTATGAGCAGGCTCTCTGCCTGTCTCCCTGGCTCTGTTCTCAGTGTTCAGAGTATCTGTAGCAGTCTTTGAACTTTTGAAGAGAGCAGCTGGGAGCTCTGAGTGGAGACAGCCTTCCTGGCCCCCAGGAGACTGGGAGCCTCATGACCCATGTAACTCCAGCTGTGGCACAACGCCATGCGCAGCCCCTCTTGCTTACAGCATCTTGCCTTTACTGCAGGGTGCCAGATGAGTGTCAAGGGGTTATATATATGTTTATGTTCACTCAAAATATTTAACAAGCTACACATGGTGGGATTAAAATAAACTTAATTCTGTTTCCATTTTAGGTGTGAGTACTTGATATGCGTCAAAGGACAAGAGTTCATCAGTCAAATTCAAGCCAGTTACCCTCATCTACTTGAACAGGTAGGGAAGGTTTTCTTTAGATCATCGGTTGATGACAGATAAATTATTTTCTGATAACTACAGAGAGTAGTACTTTAGTGAAAAGACAAGAGTTGCTTCAAAAATACATTCATTTTTTTTAAATACCCAACATGATCTTAGAACTATTCTTTGGATAAAAACAGATTCAGAATTAGAGATTTCCTGAAAAATAATGTTTAAGATATGGCTCTAAGTATTTCTATAATAAGGTTGCAATACATTATTTGAGGAAAAACTTTGGCTGGGATGGTAGCATTTAATAGTTTTACTACACAAATTTTTGTTTAAAAGACTTGAGAAAGAGAATTTTATTACTCCTTCTAATCTTCCTGGAAGGAGATTGCTGGGAAGGTGGCGAAGTAGGAGGACCCTGGGCTCACCTTGCCTCTCCCATGGATGCAACCAGGTAACACCCACATCAGCGTAAATAACCCAGAAAACGACTTGGAGCCTGGCAGGGCCAACTCCACAACTAAGTACAGAGAAGAGGCCACATCACTGCGGGTAGGAAGGGCAGAGACTCTGTGGGCAGCTAAGCAGACCACGGGCCGCCTGCAGGAGGAAGGAGCCAAAGGCTCAGAGCGGGAGAGAAACAGACCCCACACCAGGGAGCCCACATGGGGAAGATGAATCCCCGTAATATTTGGCTGTGAAGACCAGTGGGGCTGAATTTTGTGAGTTCTTACAACCAGCAGGACTCAAAACTGGAATTTTAAAAACGGCAGGCTTGGCTCTGGGACAGCCAGTGGGTGAGAGGAAACTGAGTCCCTGACCTTAAAGACACAGCACAACAAACAGCCTGTGGAGATACAGCGTAAGAAGCAGCAGGCTGAAAAACACCGGGGACAATGGGAGACAGAGTTACTCACTAATCTCGAAGTTCACTGAGGGATGTCTGCAGGAGCAGGGGTGCTGGCAGGTGCCATTTCCCACCTCTGTCCCTCAGCATAAATGCACGGCCACCTGTGGGAACCAGGGTGGTGCTGAGGCTCACTACCTTGCTTGCTTAAACCGTGCCACCTCCTCCGATGGCCTTCCCCAGTCCTGGTGCCATGGGTCCCCTCCAGCCAGAAGATAGGCACAAACCTTGCTAACACCATGTACTTTGTGGATCCACTCCATCCAATGCATTCTTGGCTGAGCACATCCATACTAGCGCTGCAAGCCTGGTAGTGTGTAAGGAGTCCCGACGGGGGCCAGCGCCGGTCCCACCGTGTCCCCAGCAGTGGGCTGGGAGCAGACAGCTGGTCTGCCTGCAGGCCCCGCCCACCAGTGAAAGCTTCTCAACAACACAGAGAAAGTGCCCTGTGGTTCGGGGCTACTGCATCTCTGGTCTGACTCAACTCAAACCCACAGTGGCCCCAGATTGGCCCACAAACAATACAGGGATGAAACCCTGCCCACAACAGGCAAAGACAGCCTCTGCAGATGGCTGGAATAAAGGCAAAATTGGCTTAGCCACAACAGCAGGGCACACACAACACACATAGGAGATGCCCCTGAAGTGCCAGGTTCGGGGGAATGGGGGACACTGCATTGCAGGGCACTCCAGGACCTCTTCTTCATAAGGCCACTACTTTCAAGAGCAGGAGATGTAGCTGACTTTCCTAACAGAGAAACGGACACGGAGTTAGACACAATGAGGAGAGAGAG